CCTTCTACAAAAATCAAAAATGCAACACACAAGTTGGATGGAATGCATAAACCTATGTCTAACAACGTACTTCCAATTCAACGGCCAAATATATGACCAAGTCAAAGGAACACCTATGGGATCACCAATATCAGGTTTGATTGCAGAAGCACTGATGCAAAGGCTCGAGAACATAATTCTACCAAAGATCAAACCCAAGATTTGGATACGCTACGTAGACGACACTTTTGTAATTATCAAAAGAAACGAGTTAGATAAAGCTCACAACCAGATAAACAACGTCTTCAACGACATCAAATTCACAAGAGAATAGGAATCAGAAAACCAAATCCAATTTTGGGACGTCCTAGTCAAGCGAACAAATACAGGGAAATTAGAAACTCAAGACTATAGAAAATCAACTCACACACACCAAATGCTGAATTACAACAGCAACAATCCAATAGCACACAAGAGGAATTGCATACAAACACTATTCAAGAGAGCCAGGACTCGTTGCAGCACTCCCACCTCAAGGAAAATTGAAGAAAAGTATCTCATGTACGTCTTTCAAAAGAATGAATATCCACGGAATTTCATCAAAAGACATATACCCCCAAGCCAACCTATCAAACCAAAAGCCCCCAAGGAAAGCACAAAGAAAATCGCCTTACCATATATAAAGGACATCTCAGAAATCACTACAAGACTCTTCAAACATATAGGAATTGACGTCGTACACAAACCAACAAAGTCATTTCACTCAATTCTATGTCAACCAAAAGACTAAACAGCGAAGGAAGATAAAACCAACATCATCTAAAAAATAGAATGTATCAACTGCGAAAAACACTACATTGGCCAAAGTGGACGTCCTCTTCGTCTTCGTATCCACGAGCATAAGCTAGCCGTCAAAAGACATGATATCCACTCCCTCATATCGCTACATACAGACAACCACGGGCATCAATTCGATTGGGACAATGTTCAAATATTAGACAGAGGAAACAACAAGAGTGCTAGAGAATTTTTAGAAGCTTGGCATTCCAGTGAATCATCAGTCAATAGACACATCGAGATAGACAAAATTTATCAAACGATAAGAAACAAACGTCACACAAAAACAGTCAAAGTTCAAGTCAAAGAAACAATGATTGACAATACAAATAACATAGAAGGTGTGAAAACACACAAAAGCGACCATTCACGTCCAAGGTCGCCAGGAGAGGTGATTAATAAACCCGTGGAGAAATCTAAAAGCTCACTTCAAATCGAAGTATGCGCTGAAGATGTCACCTAGTAGGGCGATGAAAGCTTCGCAAATTAACTACCCAGCTCAGGAAACACAACCACATCAAAACAATAAATAAATAAAGTATGCATTGTGAAAAAATCTCACCTCTTATTACTCGCAATTTATTTTTGAACATGTTAGTATATTCGTGTATTTATTATCCGATTTCGCACATTCTACAGGAGAACCAGCAACGACACAACCGCCAGTGGTGACTTGTAAGTTGAACTGCACTCTGTTTCGCCGGACAAATAAGCTTTCCTCTCATGTGTTACACTCATTGCAATAAGTGATAGTGACCTGCCTTCATCTTGAGGTTTGCTTCACCTGACTGTTTTCGGACTCCAGTACTGGTGCAGGAAATTGATTTTGAATAAGTGGATTTCTCATGAATCTACAACAAACGATCTGTTCATCAATAGCGACAAAAGAAATCGTCGGATTCAGTCTGCATGCTGACGCTTGAAATGTCATAGTCAATAATGACAACGTAGATTGTCAGGCTTGCTTTCGTATGAAAGTGAGTAATGTTGTTGCCTGAAACGCAATAGGGGAATGTGAGATCACCATCATCATAATCGTAATAATAATAATAACAGCTGCCCTCCGGACAGAATCCTCACCTGCTATACAGAGTACACAGCGTATTTTATTGCACAATATTTTCTCCTCATTCATTGCTCTTTCATGCAAGGTACAGACAAATTCCATTCGATAGATTTTCTTCGCCTTCCCCGAGAAATGCTCAACGCTAGTTCACACCGCAACTAAAATGTTCGTGAGTACGTTCCGATACTCAGGGAGATAAATGATTGAATAGGCAAAATAATTTGGATCATAGAGAATATGTTGCATCGTGTTGGATTTAAATTAAGGTGTGAGAATCATTCAAGAAGGCCGACAAGTAGAAGAGGATAGATATGATAAATGCCTAAGAATCCTCAAACTGCATCACTGAGAGATTGACACACTCGTCAGACAAGACAAAGCATGAGTTGAGGTCACATTTGCACGGACTTCTAGAATCACGCATGATCTGTTGATTGTGACAGAGAATGCTTGCAATCTGATGTGTCTGAGTGCCTCGGATAGAAACCGCTTTGCGTACTGGTCAGTCAGTTGTTTCAGTTAAAATCTCACTACCTGGATTGTGAGGAGCGAGGACGACACTGCATTCAGTTTGTCTTCCCACTTCACCACGAAACGCATATTTGCAGTTTGAGCGACTTGTAACTCAAACACACAAATTTCATTGATTGCATACATCGAATTCATTGAAAACCCATTCATCATATCATCAAGCCTACTCTGTGACTGCACACAAATCACACATTTTTGTTTCTCTCGCGAATGATGAAACTTTCATATTTGAAAATCCCAATTCAGTCATTTAAAACGCCTTCGTTTTTTTTATACGACTTCCATATTTGTTTGCAGATGGGTGGATGAATTTTCCTGGCGAATTCGAAAGTAAGGTCGTACACTATTTCAAATATTGTGCACCCACGTGAGGGAACGAGGAGTAGTCTAATGAAACTGATTTAACAGTTTTGTAACTGCTTCGACTAACGAAGAACACGTATGAGTAATTCTCGTCGAGGATTTAGTCAGAGGAGTAAACGATTTCTAATCACATGTGAATCAGTGAACATGGTGAAAATGTACACCCTCTGGTGTTCATATTACAGAGTCATCTGTGTTACTCACCATGATTTCGGAATAGGACACTCAGAATACTTGGACACTCACGACGCTTCCAATAGACGAAGTAGTCATATACACTGTATCAAGACACTTTCAATGAAAAGGGGATAGAGGAAAGGTTGACGTTGGTAGTCGAAATGTGGTGGATACACACGTGTAAGTGATTGAAGCGATGGTCATTAGATCGCACGTCTCACCAATAATGGCTGACATACTCATGGATTTTAGGGAGTAGAATGCAGCTGAATCATAGGTAATATCATCAACAAAACTTTGGTGGAGATGTGTAGATGACACGTGAGTGGTAGTGCGGAAGAATGATACTTAGACATTCGTCTCACACACAAACAACTGTCATGTAGACTTAGTATGGAAATACACTATGGAAATAGAGGGTGAAATTCAGGGGTTACCTGTGCACGTTAGACTGCAATGTACGAAGTGTAATAGATGTTAGCATAGACAGGACATATTTCAAAATACACTGACATTTTACTGACATGAAACAGTATCACTTCGCCAATCGACAACATGTGCAGGAAACCGGCTTGCATCGAAATCAAGAAGCTGCTCTCAAGTGACTAACAGTTGTTCACTCAATATCTTCTGACGAATGCTGTAAGATATCTGTTACAACGTATTTCATATTGTGCGTTCTGTGTGACTATACAAATTTTTTTACAGAATACTCATTCCTTCTGAAGAATACATCAAAAGGTAAGCGCATTTGAATTGTAATAATTCCAGTAACTTGACTTCATCATCACTAGAAGTGGAATACGAGAAACCAGCATCAATGTGTTCACTTACTTTCTTCTAGCGTTTCGAGAGAGGCACTCATTATCACGAATGCATTACTAAATGATTCACCATCAAGAAATTATCCTTGATTTGCCAAGCCGTCAGTCAATAAAGAGGAGTATTTGATCATACTCCTTCCTGTTTTCAACAGTTGATTGAATAGTAGCCGGAATGTGTTTGTGACTGCCTGATCACGGGAGCACACAGTTACGTTGAAGCCATCCACTTGTGGAGGTATTTGTTGGTGGAACAATGTCCTCGCCTTTAGTCAATGTATTCGACTCACATGCACATGCGTTCATGAATAATCCCCATCCAGACATTAGTGAAAATCAAGAAAAGAAACACGAGGTTCAGCGAACAGTCTCTTTTCGGCGACGAATTCATTCAATTAGTTCACCTGTCTTTGTGGAGCACGGTACATCAGTCCCTCGACGGCTGTATTCTATACTTGCTACTTATCTCAAAATTCATCTCTTGTTTTACAGCTGAATGGAGTGAATTGATGAAAATCCTAATTGAGGGTGAGTACGTTGAAATTTTCGTTGAGAAATTCTTATCGAGACATTTTCCTAAGATTCAATAGTACCATATATTACTTTAGATGTTGACTTTTCGTGAAGAATTGTATTCATTTCAGTGAAGAATTCTTCACGAACCGAAATCAGTAGGTGAATCACTGAATGAAATCAGCAGGCAACAGATGGCTGTGTTCTACTGATTTGAGACGCCTCTCAGTCCTCTGCAACAACAGCAAGCACACTTATTTCTCCATGCAGACACTGAGGCCGTAATCCGACAAACTTTTGAATTGCAACATTCTTCCTCAATGATCTGAGGCTGTCAGCTCTCTTTTGGTTTGAGACCCTGCTTAGTCCGCCACAATAACAGCAACAACACCGACCACACTGAGGATCGATGTGGTTCCCCTTAGGAATCTTGAGTTGTCAGCAATCAATGCTACACATGAGCATGTAGGTTTTGATGACACTGGTGTTCATTGATTGAGCCTAGAGAATCGGTGTTGTTTGTGTACAACGTCTAAGAAACATTACGCAACGACAATGTCACCACATTCTGACATAAGATTTGTCCACAAAACGTGAGAAAATATCCAAGGAAATCCACAGTTCTCAGATATCTCTTTCGCGCCATTCAACTAATCAACGCATTTATCTAAATTAATGTGCAATTTGTCAATTTCATTTCCACAGATATTCGAATGAATAAGACATATGCTCCAAAAAGTAAGCAAGAAAAGACAAACTTCAATGGTCACTCACTCGAGTACTAAAAGCATATTCATTATATAACCTGAACTAGGGATATCTCATATGTATAATGATGAGTACTACACACCAACTCAGTATTCAAGGATACGAATTTCTCAGTTCAATGACACACGAGGCGAAAATGAAAAATGTATATTTTTGGATGCAGGTGAATGACAAGATATGTGGTACTTCGATTGGACACAAATCGGTGTCATGCCTGTAATACATGGAGTTTGCTGCAGGACGGATCCTATCAGTCTAGTTTGCAATGTGAGCACCGACAAGCTAGGCAGATGTTGATCACAGTGTACTCAGGATTCTTGTTAATAGATGTTTGAAGGTAACTGACAGGAAGTCGTTCCTCGTCCGAAGTCTGCTGCTTGTAGGCTGGCACTAGTCAGCAATACAGCCAAACAGGAGGTCAATCACGAGTCCGAACAGTCAGCTGGATTAGTGAAGGCGTCTCCGACTTCAGGGAATATGAGATCCTTGAGGATTGCAGATACGTCTAGCTGACCGGTGGTTGGTAACAAGCACAAAACCTGAGTGAGTCAGGGCTTCCTTCGGCTGATTCCCTCCATGTAAAAGCAGGTGGATAACTCTGATTGTCATTTGAATGGAGGAACAATTCGGATAGTCAAATGTTCTTTGAGACGAATAACTCACTGACACGCTTCCAATTGAACCACATGGATGTAGGTGATAGAGATGAGAATCAGTCGACACTAAGAAGGATTCAATTTCGCTTTACGGAATCACAGTCTATACAGGTTCGTATGGTGTTTTCATTCGGATATGCAAAGAGGTGTCTTCGAGTTACTTAAAACGTTCGACACTTCGGTTGACGTTATCATGAAAGAATATTAGTGAGGCGAGATACTTGGAATTGAGGGAGATGTCTCAGTTTTAGATGTTCTCCCCAATTGTTACAAACTGTTTCGATCAAATCTGTGGAGAATCATGTCGAAGCGTACAACAGATGCCATCTGTCCTAGGTTCGTTCTCTCTTATGTGAAACATTTCACATTCCACAGCAATCAGACGTGATGTGCAATAATGGATTGACCGATCTTATCGAGATTCATATGTATTCGTCGATATTTACCTTTCTAAGTGTCATCCTGTCATTTCATTCTTTGTAACTTTCATGTCACTACTTTCAACGACCTCTCACGAACAAGTGACAGCTCTTCACTCATTGATTTCATTCCTTTCAGATGATCCGACTGCAAGAGAAAAATATGCCAAAGCAGGTTTGTACACGAGAACTTTCCTCCTCCTCCTCTTCACCTGCTACTTCACTCCCTTCTTCTGCTTCTTCTTCTCATTCTATTTGTTCTTCTTCTTCAGCTGTGTCAATGCTCATTACTCCTGCCTGAACTTGTACTGTCTGTTCACATCACATTATCCACTTGTCCATTAGTTCACCAGAAGTTAACAGCTTACACTGCGGCCAACATACTCGGACTGCTAATGTTAACTGAACTGATTTCGATAGACAGTATGTTCGCGCCAGCGAATCACTGACTGTCCACACCTACCTGGAATCTCCACCGGCCGAACAGACCTGGGTTACGCACACCATTAAAATCCAAATAACACAGATCCGTAAGCATGCAATCCGATTCGGCCAGCCTTCTATGCCACTGGAACAGGGAAGCAGATTTTCTGAAAAGTCATTTGAAATGTAGAGAGTCACTTGAATCCTTCACATCAAGGCAGTGATTGAATTCAATAGATGAAGTGGACGTAGTGTTGACGTGATTTCCGTGCTGGATAGGTTATTGAGGAAGATTTGATTGTCTCCTCAGGCTGGATGTTCAGCGTCAACTTTGCAGTTGAACCATTCAGCTCACAGTCAACGCAAATACTGCAATATCATTCACTTGAGCTTAGAAATCTAGCAACATTACCAATCGCGTCACAGATAACTTTCAGGTTATGTGTGAAATATTCATTTGCAGGGATTCGATTGGCAACAGGATTGATCACGAGTCGAGAACTATTGGCAAACAAGCATGGAGCACTGCACGGCTGTTCGTCAGCCAAGTTAAGGGCTCGTCGGCAATACACTCACACACACACACACACACGAGTATTCGAAAGCAGGATAATCTGGTAACGAGCCACGCTGATAGACAATTAAGCGACTGGGACTCGATTCAATGTTCCATGTGTCACAGCACCTGCATATTCGGAATGCGTGTAGAGCGCAAGCGCCAGCTAATGTCACAGGCGAGCAAGTGTCCTCTTGTTTGACTTGGTGTGCATCACTGGTCACAATGTTGGTTGCGCTTGGTACGTATCACAAATTGGCAGAAGTTGTTATTCATTGACTATTGGGTTAGGTTTCTGTGGTTGGAAGGTGTGCCAGCTCGCTTCGTAAGCGGAATGTCCAGACTTCACACGCCACTGTGGTGTGTGCGCACTACTGAATAGTGCACAACTGGGCAGACGATGCAGCTGTCCGCACTCCATGTTGGATTTCCTGTGTCCCTCTCACTGATATAGGCTCGTCTTCACTCCTGTAACTTTCATATCACACTGTAGAAAATTGGATTACCAAACATGTCTATAAATTACTGTCTAATTTGTCTCATTTCATCAACTGATGTAGAATTCCTGGACAAATTTGTGAAGAGTGAGTCTAAACGTTCCATTACATCATTTTGTTACATTAAACATCTTTGTATATGAATGTGTGGCCTGTAGAATAGGGGATATCCACATACATGTATATACGTGATGCATTTCATGGCATCACTGTTCGTCTGAACAACCGTCAGATTCTCTATTCAACAAGTCGTCTAAAACCACCCAAGTACTGATACCCTGTCAATACTTCCCCATCGAACATCAGCCACTCCAATCACTGGGCGCCATAATCTCCCCGAGATTTCTTACAATTAGAGAATACTCCAACACAGAATGTCCGCTTGATCAGTTTTAGTTAGGAGGGTGGGGAGTAAAGTGACATCCTGAGACAAACGTCAGCAGATTTCATCTTACACTAGCCTATTGTATTGATTGATGTCAAGATGAAATCCTGTCAGTGGAGAGTGCAGAATCACTCAGTGATATGTCTCCATCATCAGAGAGAAACTCCATGTGTAAAGCAGAGATGTGATGCTGAGTGAATGAATGTTTGAATGAATGGAAAGTGGAGTGAATAGAGGAATAATGCACTCTGATGGGAATTTCTAATATCTGAGGTACGTCAGCCAAGTAGTCAGAAGAGCTTGAAGACGACAAAAAGCGACAGGGAAGCATCTCGCCTGTGCTTGTTAGAATCTACTGTAACAGTGAGGCCTGCTCCTGATATCTACAAACATCATTCAACAGCTAGCTATGTGACAGGGGTACATATCAAGTGATCCACAATGGACAACTCACTGAGGCGTCTGAAGTGAAAACAGCAGTAAGACATGCCTGAATGCCTGTCATCATCGTTGATATTGGTAATCGCATCGGACTCGATTAAGCATCAGACTTCAGGTGGGGGTGAGAAGACCACCAATAAGGAGACTGAAGAAGATGTGGATTTCACCGATGATTTATGTCCAACGTGACACAAACTCGAAGACTTACAGGCGGAAACTTACAAGCTGGCAGAGGAGGAAGCCGACGAATACAGGACTTCTCCTGAACAACAACGAGCAGCAGTCACTATCAACGGGAGACATTTGACAGTGGTTACTTCCTACACGTAAATATGAAGCATCACTCTAACTACAGGTTAACAGAATGGGTGAAGATGTCGAAAACAGAATGGAAGGCGCCAGAGAATGTTTCATCACTCTGAAGTCAGTTTTCAAATCTCCTCCACCTACTCAGCGTAAGGAAGGAGATTCCGATCTTCAGCACAAATGTTCAGTCAGTCAATTCTTCAATATGGGTCAGAGACTTGGCGTCAGAGTCACAGGGAGCATTACTGACAGACTGCTTTTGACTATTTTCAGCAGCTGCCTTCTTCGCTGGCTCCATTCCGCAGATCGACAGGCCAGCCTGAGAGAGTCAGCAACAAGAAACTATGGGTAGAAACCAACATGCGAGAACCTATTCCTCAACAAAATTTCGGAGGGAATAGCGATGCATTGGACAAAGGCTGAGGAGACCGCTTGACGACATCACGCGGCAGGCTATCACTTGAATGGAACTGCAATGGGAGACCATGAATGGAGAGTGATTCTGAAGTTATCATGGTGGAGTCAGTGCGAAGAGGAGATCAGTGAAATACGAAATATTGTGGCACCAGATAAACAGGGCCACAGGGAATGGGTGAAAGTGAAGGCGTTCTGCTGACACACCATGTTCTACTGAGAACGCTGAGGAACAATTATAAAGGCAACAATATAACCGCTTCCCAAGATTGTGCTGTGGGTGTTCAAGCAGCTGAAGTGAAGCATGTAATACAATGACGCAGCATATTATTGTCAACCCTATGTGGCATAGTAATCGATAGACTCGATGGAAGAGGAAGCACTCAAAGCAGTGTCGAATATTGAGGCAGAATGGAACACGAGGGTTGGTGGAAAGCGTGTGGAAAATGCCTTGACAAATACTACATTATCGAGGGTGAGTTTGCAGGTATTCGATAGGTTCGTGGGTATGATTGCGAGCTGGCATCAATTAGAGAAGCATCGGAAAGCTTGGGAGTACTGGATACTTGTTTCATGCTAGATTGGTCAGTTACTCTCCTACGATTTTGACGAGTGGTTGGATGGTCATCGCGCTTACCTCTTAACCGCGAGATCCTGAATTCGAATACCCGGATTTTGCGTATCACAGAAGAACCCATAACTGGAGGGAGGAACAAGCTCTCCAGTGCTCCCTGTTGGTTTCCAACTGGTCTCCAACCGATTTCAGCTCGTGATAAACTCGAAATACTAAATTGTCATAAGTCATGATGATGGAATACAACTGTGTCATTCACACATCTAGGAAATGTGAAATACAAGACTACTTCATGAATGGAGCGACTGGACTGTCAATCACCCTAGGACTACAAGGCACTACAACCCATCCAGACAGTAGATATTTTCGTATTCATCACTCGACTTGACCTTCTGAGACACAGTGGAATGACCATCGTGTACACTTCCAAGTCAGTCGAGAATCGACTCGTTCACCTCTTCGTCATTGAAATAAATAAATAATTTTGTCTGTTTTTTCCATGTAATAGAATACGGAGACGAAAAATCAGGACTCGGAGGTAAGCACGAATCATAATTTCCCCCATACTAACTGCATTCACCCGTGTGAATCAGTTTGTTAACACAAATACAAAATCATTTCCATGTATATAGCCAATAAATTAATGGAGTTAGTAAAATAACGGTCGCTTGCATCTTCATTCTTCCCTCATTCTCAAAACCATCAACTAATTTCTAGAGTTTTGTGAAATTCCATAGGAAACAGAGAGGTGCATGCTTTCACGTAATCGAAAACCACACTCGTAGTTATGTTGTGTACTGTGTGTATTGCAGCAGACCATTGGTGCGCCAAAAGACAAATACCTAAGGCGCTAGAAAAGCTTGACTTCTCGGACGACGTATTTCCAATGTGACATGGACTCGAGGACGTACAAGTGTAAACCACCAAGTCAAGAGAAGAAGCAGGAAATACAGGACTTCAAGCGAAGACACAGGTGATGAAAGTAACTGAAGAACAAGGACAAACACACCTGATGAGAGACATTCTTCGGGAGGTGAAGGAATCCTCTTCTACTAATGATTTAGTCATTTGGAATGATGTGTTTCCATTGTGACAAATCACAATGGATGGTTAGTTCTATTCCCTAGTCAGGAGCGTTTCCACAGTCGATGAAAAGGACAAGCGGAAATGAATATTTCAATATTTCGGAAAACTAATCAGCTCGACAGGCTTTGCTGCGATCAACATCCAACCGTGCATAGCAAATGTTATCCATGCTCACACGTGCACTTTATATCGGTAATTGTGATCAAAGGGACGTTTACAAGCGTCCATATTCCTGAATGGAGTGCTTACATGAACTGAAACGCTATGGTAACGGCATTGTCTTCCGTATCATTCATTTTCTCATGTTCTGGCTCCTGTATTAATTGCTCATCTTTCTGTGTGTCGACTGATATAATTTTCACCTGAATGCATCACACACATAACTCTGAATGCAGCTCTGTGAGGAGGTCTCCGTGATCAGGCCAGAAGCTGGACAGTGCAACGGATGTCTCAGCATTGCTTTCTTTGTTCAACATTGAGAGTTGCGTGTCTTCACTCATTCTAGAACTTGAACTCGCTTGACTGATAACCAGATCGCTTAGCATATTTACGCACCAAACCTAACCCAATGAACAACGGCCACCTTTGCCATCTGCAGGAAAGTGCCTTTGCTGATGTCTTCAAATGCGTTGCAAAACAAAAGGTGGATGTCTCGTTGGCACTAGAGGCAACGCAATTTTACCAATACTTAGAAAGCTTCTCATAGTGACTTGCAGATCCCTGCCGTAATCATGAGGTTTCTTTCACCTGAATGTTTTCGGTCTCGAGTACTGTTGCGAGAAATTTATGTCGTAAGCACGAATTTCTCATGAATCGACAACAAACAACATGTTCAAAAATAGCGAAAAACGAAATCGTAGGATTCAGTCTGCGTGCTGACGCTTGAAATGTCACTGTCCATAATGACAACGGCGATTTTGAGCCTTGCTTTCGTATATAACTGAGTAATGATTTAGCCAAAATACATAGACAAATGTGAAACGTAATAAAGACAAACGATGGATAATGTGATGAGCAACCAGTCGACTCAGTTACAGTGTTGTAAGTTCAACTGAGATCACTGAATGTAAATACAGGGGATTTGTATTACAGAAATGAGGATGAAGTTATACACGAAGATTCCCGAATCACGTGAAAGAGTACATAAATATATCAAATCATCAGGACGAGGAAATACTGAAAACTACTTCCTTCTGAACAGATAAATCTGTTTTCATGGCCGTCAATTCAACACACTTGAGCAGAATTGAGCTGTTTGATTTATTGATAATTTTAACGGATTTCATGATGTCCACGTGATGATTGATGTTGATGAGATGTCTAACAAATGGCATTATTGTAGGCTGTTGTTCTCTTGAGACGTAGACTTTTTGATACATGTTCAGAAAATCTGAGGTGTGCCCTTCCTTTTATTCTCCTAATGCAACTCTCCTCACAGATACATGTAAATTTCTGTACACAGCGTTAACATGAGAACATTACCTGTTGTCTTTCGATCGTGCCAAACAGCATGCTACCCAATAAACCAAAACCAAGTGACCTGCAGGAGATGTTCTACCTAGTGTGGTATTCAATCTTCCACTGACTATTCCCGCAATTCTGTAACATTTATAGTCTGGTTGAACGAAGATTTGTTCGTATTCTACTGTAAATTAGTTTGGCGTTTGTGCCTTCGCATCATCTTTATTTGTCAATGAATTCCTAGGAGTAACTGATACCTCTTAACGTCATTTCAAGAATCAGAAATTCCTCCTGTAATCTCTTTTTTGAAATGACAATTGACAGAAGTCAGAGCAACCGATTTTGTTACTTCTTGCTGTGGAGGATAAAATAATTTCTTAAAGTCTAATCATATGACTACGCGACTACACGAATCCATAATCAAACGTTACTTCATATTTCAGAAGGTACAAAAGAAAAAGTCAAAGATGCAGTGACAGGTAGGTAAAGACACTTTGAACACTTACATTTGTTTATATTTTCAAATTCTGATTGAAATGGTGTCGACATTTTGCTGAAAAACATTTGTTTGAAAAAAACACTGTGCTGCATTACTTAGGTAATCGGTGAATTGTTCTAGCATACTGGATATTGTAGACTTCCATTCTGTAGTGACGTGATACCGATACGTTGTGATATGGACTCTGGAAACCGATCTTTGTGATCTACCAGGTGGCTAACCAGAACTTTCTTCACTTACACACGTTCTTAAGTGTCTCAATGACAGCATAATGACGGTCCATCTCGATAACATCTGTGATAATAATTAACAATTATAACATAACATAACTTGACATAGACCACAATCCAATGACATCCGTCAGATATTCAAGGACAAGGCTTCGACGGATACGATCAGTAGTTGTACTGCGGGAACCTGAGGTGAAGAACACCGGAAGTGTTTGAGAACGATACTGGAAGCAACTCAACCAAGTCTTGTAGCATGGATGAATTGACAAGAATGGGAACAGTCTTAAGCACATACTTGGAAGCTAAGGAAAGAGAGAGAGCCAGTGAAACAGACGATGAACTAGCGAAACTATGGACGCACAAAAGGGGGAACGAGATCAATTCACACAGAGCTGAATACAGAAGTGATCAATAGTGCTAGGAAAGACAAAATACAATCCTACAACGCACTGGTAGCTGAAGGCGAACATACCTCAGGTAAGAACGACTTCGGATAGATTTATCAGCTAACTAGACAGCAATCCGGGGAGCGAACAACATCAGTGAAACTACGAATAGATAGCGAAGGGGATTTAACTACCAAGACAGAAGGCGGAGAAGAAACAATAGGCTGACATTTCGTAGGAATCTCGCTCCTGTGTCCGCCTCTATAGTTTGATCTCCTCGTTACTTGACCTCGACATCCCTCATGTCGCCCTCGTAATGATGAACAACTCGCCGCTGTTCTTTCTAGTTTCACTCGAGCAATGGCCTAATGTGTGATGTCACTTCATGGTTTTCTCATAGTTTGGCTAATCCATCTCCATTTCTATCTGCATATATGTTACATCATTGTTTCCTGCTGCGTTGGCTCATTCACTGTCAGAGATCCATGTTGCTGCTCTTTACTGGCCGGCCATCCGATCTTTAGTATTACTGAGCGAAGACAGCTAGTGATGAATGTCTGTGGTTTGTTTGAAGTGCTCTCCATGACGCACCAAGTCTCTGATCTGTATATTAGGTAGCACTGACTGAAGTTGAAAATCCGGTACTTAATTTTCATGCTTAGTCCTGTTGACCTACACAGAGAATTGAGAGATATGCAAGCTCGTCTTGGTTTATTGATCTTCGCTTTGATATCCTAATCAGTTCCGCCGGCCTGTATTTAAGACTATGATTCTCAATAAGATAGCTAATGAGGTAAAGGAGGTTGCTTATTTCAGATGCCTCCCACTTATGCTGATTGACTGATATTGTTGCTGCTGCTGTTGTTGTTTGCCAGGAATCTTCATCAACTCTGTTTTGTCTATCCTTACATAAATTCTGTGCTATCTTTGATGCTTCTTCTCCCAACTAGTCGCTTTTCACTAGCATATCTTACAGTTTGTGTGAAATCAGATATATATCATAGACGAAGTCCAGATCCCTCAAGTTTTTGTGTGGGTCCAGAATACACTGTATTATATATCTCGAAACCAAGTGTATTCTGTCGAAATTTCAGTTAAAAATGGTCACAGCAACAGACTTTACGCATGCTCGTTACCCTTTGTGAATTTCAATAAGGCAAGAACAACGACAGTTTGTGGAGAAAACACTGAGAACATCAGTTAATTCTCTGGTTTCATGCTGGCGTCGGACAGCATAAAGAAATCATTATGGCCAACTAACGGACAATTTTAACACACACTTCAAAATGTTACATGATCCAAGTTGACAGGAGATTCCAAACTAAAATGGTCCGAAATGAAACTCATATAACCTGTGCCCAGAAGTTTCAAGTGTAAATAAACTGATTCAGCCAAGATACATGGACAAAAGTGAAACGCAATAAAGACAAACGATGGATAATGTGATGAGTAACCAGTCGACTTAGTTACAGTGTTGTGAGTTCAACTGAGATCACCGAAGGCAAATACAGAGGGATTTGTAATAGAGGGATGTGGATGAAGTTATACACGAAGATTCCCGAATCACGTGAAAGAGTACATAAAGATATCAAGTTATCAGGACGAGGAAATACTGATAACTACTTCCTTCTGAACACATAAATCTGTTTCGATGGCAATCGATTCAACACACTTGAGCAGAATTGAACTGTTTGATTTATTGATAATTTAAACGGATTTCATGAAGTTCACGTCATGATCAATGTTGATGAGATGTCTAGTAATGGTATGATTTTGAATAAAGCAAGAACAACAGTGGTTTGTGCAGAATGATATGGTACCATCATTTATTTCGTAAGCTTCTCATCAGCTGCTTACAGCCCAAATAAATTATGAGGTTTGCGTACAGATAAGTTTTACCATACTTGCAAATTTTTACATGTTGTCAGTTGACAAAAAGTTCCACAGTAAGTGAACAGTGCTCAGAAAATTGCGCTTATATAGTTTTTATACAGGCAGTTCAAGTTTAAACATATATCATCATGTCAGACCTTGAGAAATCTAAGTTGAAGCATGCAATCGATCAAACAACTTCCTATTGTCGATATGTCGATGACACATTTGTAGTATGCAACAACGAAAGTCATGCCTCCTACCAACTCAGCCTGTTCAACAAAGCACATACAAATATTGTATTTACCATGGAGCATGAAAATGACGGGAGGTTCCATTTCCTTGACATTGCCATGCAACGCCTAGAAGATGGTAATCTCCAGAGGTCAATTTACCGAAAGCCTACATGGAATGGACAATACTTACATTTTAACAGTTTTTGTCCAAATAGCTATAAACGAGCACTAGTCAAGGCTCTGTACTATAGAGCGAGAAGAATATGCTCTATAGAGAAATTAGAGGAAGAATTTATGATTCTCGAAAAGGTGCTGAAAAACAACGGTTACCCTCAAAGATTCATTAACAAATATGGAAGATGTGAAGGCTCAAATACCAAACAAATCACAGTTGGAAAAAAGCCTGTCTTCATTCAACTAGATTTTAAAGGTGAAAACATTGCAGAAATGGTCAACAGAAGACTGAGAACATCACTAGCCAGAGCCTATCCTGCAGCTAAGTTGGTTCCCGTCCATCAAACAACATGCTCTTTGGTGCAGTCAAAAGTCGATAGATACCCTTCTTATGTTAACTCCAACTGTGTGTACAAATTTACGTGTATCTGCGGGAGCAGTTACATTGGGAGAACAGAAAAAAGGGCACACCTCCGATTTCCTGAACATGTGCCAAAATGCCTACGTCTCAAGGGAACAAACTCTTATAGCAGCGCTATTACTAGATATCTTCTGGACACGGGTCATGAGGTAGAAATCGAGAAATCCTTTAAAATTATCAATAGACAAAGGAGTTCCATTCTCCTCAAGTTTGCCGAAGCAATCTCTATCAAACGCTTGAAACCAGATTTATGTGTTCAGAAAGAAGCAGTTATTAATCTTTGTTCGCCCTGGTAACTGAATGTCTTTATTCTCTCATCTGATTACGTAATCGTTGTCTTTAACCTCACTCCCTTTTATATTCTGTAATTTTGCTTGTCTATTTTCTCTATGATTGGAGTTGAGTTGTTTACCTAATTTATTAGTCACTCTGTATCTAACTCATATTTAGTCTTTATTACGTAACTATTTTAACATTGTATGCATGAATCTATTTTGTTTAAACTTGAACTGCCTGTATAAAAACTATATAAGCGCAATTTTCTGAGCACTGTTCACTTACTGTGGAACTTTTTGTCAACTGACAACATGTAAAAATTTGCAAGTATGGTAAAACTTTTCTGTACGCAAACCTCATAATTTATTTAGGCTGTAAGCAGCTGATGAGAAGCTTACGAAATAAATGATGGTACCATATCATTCTGCACAAACCACTGTTGTTCTTGCTTTATTCAAATTCATCAAGGGGAATAAATGGCATAAATGTTGGTTCTTGTTCTCTTGAGACGTAGGCTTTTTGATACATGTTCAGAAAATCTGAGGTGTGTCCTTCCTTTTATTCTCCCAATGCAACTGTTCTCACAGATACATATAAATTTCTGTACACAGTTAGCGTTAACATGAGAACATTACCTGTCGTCTTTTGATCGTGCCAAAAAGCATGCTACCCATTAAACTAAAACCAAGTGACCTGCAGGAGATGTTCTACCTAGTGTGGTATTCAGTCATCCACTGACTATTCCCGCAATAATGTCACATTTTTGATCTAGTTGGACGAAGATTTGTTCGTATTCCACTGTAAATTAGTTTGGCGTATGTGCCTTCGCATCATCTTTATTTGTCAATGAATTCCTAGGAGTAACTGATACCTCTTAACGTCTTTCCAAGAATCCGAAATTCCTCCTGTAATTTTTTTTTTGAAATGACAATTGACAGAAGTCAGAGCAACGGATTTTGTTACTTCTTGCTGTGGAGGATAAGATAGCTGTTTATTGCCTAATCATATGACTACACGACAACACCAATCTATAATTAAACGTTACTTCATATTTCAGAAGGTACAGAAGGAAATGTCAAGGATGCAGTGACAGGTAGCTTAAGACACTATAACCACTTACATTTGTTTATATTTTCAAATTCTGATTGAAATGATGTCGAAATTTTGCTCAAAAACATCTGTTTGAAAAAAGAACAGTGCTGCATTACTTTGGTAATCGGTGAATTGTTCAAGCATACTGGATATCGTAGACATCCATTCTGTAGGCGCTGGATACCGATACATTGATATATGGACGCTGGATTTCGATCCTTGCGTTCTACCAAGTGGCTTACTGAACCTTTCTTCAGTTACGCACGTTCTTATATGTCTCAGTGACAGCATGATAACAGTCATTTCCGATCAAATCTGTGATACTAATTAACATTTATAACAAAATATAACGCAAATTAACCTGAGTAATACCGATAGGCAGCTGTACGGATCTAGGAGCATCTCAGTTATCAAAACGCGTTTTTAGAACAAACTTGTGTAAAGAAAATTCAGCTGTAATAATTACCTGAAAATCAAGTATAATATTTTCAACAAAAGGCGTTGGTAGCACAGAGGTGGAATACCTGCCAACCACGCAGGTGGTTCAGGGTTTGTTACCCGGCAACTGGACGCACTCCCTTACCTCGCCAAGCCAGTAATCAGATTTGTATAGAGGGATGGTTGGTCATCCGGCTTGCAAACCCATCCTGAATAATAATAAAAAAACAACAACAATGCTATTGAAAATTCAAGCCTCTAGCTTGGAGCCCTATGTTCTACTGGGAACGTGAAAGAATTACAAAACATTTTTTCAACAAGATGAAATCAAATCTCTGTCAGCATGGATCATGCGCCGAAACCGTTTTCCCAGACAGTCGGGTTTAATATCAAACTTGTCTCATTTAAAACAAATTGAGGACTTTCTACAACACTTTATCAACACCATCGCATAGATGCGATCTGAAGCGATACAATCACAGGTTGAACAGGAGCAAAGACACTTAATAAACATTTAGTCTACAGGTGGTATGGAAACGTTCGAACAATGATATCCAGGATAAGCAAAAGAGGATAATTATCGTGAAATTAGTTGAAATATCGAGATAAGCAGGATCGTCGTAAATATACCGTCTAGACCGAAATTCAGCACCGAGTATGCCGACTAGGTGTAGTCAGATGTTGTTAGCTTAATGCTTTACTCACTCCTTTTTTACTGACATATACTCTTGATTTCAGAAACTAAGAAAAAGGGAAGAAATAAGAAGAGGAAACTGGCTAAGGTGACAGGTATGCGCAAGCATTCATCTTTTTTGTTCTACATTCTGATTGAAATGGTGATGATGATGGTTTACGCCGACATACTTCTTCAGTATATTAGTTTTGTACAGTCAACAACATAATCGACCGAGTACATGAGAGTCTTTTACACTGAAACGGTTATCCTTGTGAGAAACCGCTTTTAACATTGCGCAGTTATTATGGCGCGAATCATCAGTGATGTGCTTGAAAGCTGGAATATTTCGCCGGTCTATCGATACCTCCAGACATCTCAGTAGGAAATGACTGAGTTTCAACCGCCTTCATGACGACGTAAAATAATATTCCGCATTCGATGCAGTGAGAATTCATGTCATTCTCATATTTGATCGGATCGGACATCCACACATTCCAGTTCCAACCGACGACTGGTTACCTTGCAAAAATCAATTGCACGGCACTGTCTCATAAACACTGATAACGCCTTCAAATCTTGTGCCTGCAGTGTGATTCTGATTGACTTGAGGGAGCGATATACATACACACATATATGTCATGGCTTCGGCTGTAGTGTTCTCTACTTCCATGATCAGATATCTATTGTGCTGATTAACATTGCACCTCAGTGCCTGTATGAGAGAACTCAGATACCCTCAATCACATGACGATATCTAAAATCAAATGAATTTCAGGAACGAAATTTTCAGCCAATGAGAGATTACATCATATTTACACATGTTTTCATATTTCAGACACTACGACTGAAGAAATCAATACCACATGGGCAGGTAGGTCTACGCAAATACAATTATGCGAACCGGAATGTCAGACGATAAGTGAAGTTTAAATCCGTATCATATCTTTTTATTCTTAGTAGTGCCGTTGACTTGCACACAGACTTGAGTGATGATATTTCAATACACATCGGTCATCAGTTGTGGTAGTGTATCTCAGGAACACAATTTTCAGTCAATGAGAGATGACATCATATTTATACATTTTTTCATATTTCAGACACTACGACTGAAGAAATCAATACTACATTGCCAGGTAGGTCTACGTAGATACAATCATGCGAACGTGTATTCACACATCAATATATGCCGAATACCAATCGATTGAATCATAGGAAGAGTAGCATATACATGCAGATGCTCACAGAACACCATGAGGACACATTGTTCACAGCGATTTCTACTGTTGTATCTTAGCATGCGTCCACATGTGATAATGGGTGGATTCGCAGTAAAGCATTATAGACGTCAACCAATGTAAAAGATCCTTTGTGGTGAAGTTGGAGCTTTCAAAGAAACAAGACATAGACCACAATCTAATGACATCCGTCAGGTATTCAAGGACAAGGATTCGATGGATACGATCAGCATTTGTACTGCGGGAACCTGAGGTAACGAACACCGGAAGTGTTTGAGAAAGAAACTGGAAGTAACTCAAGCGAGTCTTTTAGTATGGATGAATTGACAAGAATGGGAACAGTCTTAAGCACATACTTGGAAGCTAAGAAACGAGGGAGAGCCAGTGAAACAGACGATGAACAAGCAAATCTATGGACGCACGAAAGGGGAATCGAGATCAATTCACACAGAGCTGAATGCATTAGTGATGAATAGTGCTAGGAAAGACAAAATACAATCCTGCAACACACTGGTAGCTGAAGGCGAACAGACCTCAGATAAGAATGACTTCGGATGGATTTATCAGCTAACTAGACATCAGTCCAGGGAGCGAACAACATCAGTGAAACTAAGAACAGATAGCGAAGGGAATTTAACTACCGAAACAGGAGGCGCACAAAAACAATAGGCTGATCATTCCGTCTGCCTGTATGATTTCATCTCCTCGTTACATGACCTCGACATCCCCCGTGTCGCTCTCGTAATGATGACCAACTCGCCGCTTCCCGTTCGGGTTCCACTCGATCAATAGCTTTATGTGTGATGTCACTTCATGGTTTTCTCAAAGTTTGTCTAATCCATCTCCATTTCTCTCTGCATATATGTTACATCATTGGTTCCTTCTGGGTTGGTTCATTCATTGTCAGAGATCCATGTTGCTGCTTTTTACTGGCCGGCCATCTGATCTTTAGTATTACTGAGCGAAGACAGCTAGTGATGAATGTCTGTGGTTTGTTTGAAGTGCTCTCCATGACGCACCAAGTCTCTGATCTGTATAGTAGGTAGCTCTAGCTGAAGTTGAAAATCCGGTACATAATTTTCATGCTTTGTCCTGTTGATCTACACAGAAAATTGGGAGATATGCAAGCTTGCCTTGGTTTATTGATCTTCGCTTTGACATCCGTCGGCCTGTATTTGAGACAATAATTCTCAATTAGGTAGCTAAGGAGGTAAAGGAGGTTGCTTCTTTCAGATTTCTGCCACATATGCTGATTGTTTTCTGTTGTTGCTGGCCAGGAATCTTCATCACCTCTGTTTTCTCCATGTTCAACAGACGTCCTTCCTATATTTGATGATCCTTTTGCTTACTTGTTGCTTTTCACTTGCATATCTTCCAGTTTGTGTGAAATCAGATATATGTCATCAGCGAAGTACACTGTTTTATATATATCTCGAAATTAAATCTATTTTGTTGAAATGACAATTAAAAAATTCACTCTGACAGACCTTTCACATACTGATTCGCCTTTGTAAAGTTTCAATAAGGCAAGAACAACGACAGTTTGTGCAGAAAACACTGAGAGCATCAGTTAATTCTCTGGTTTCATGCTGGCGTCGGACAGCATAAAGAAATCATTATGGTCAACTAGCGGACAATTTTAACACACACTTGAAAATGTTACATGATCTCAGTTGACAGGAGACTCCAAACAAAAATGGTCCGAAATGAAACTCATTTAACCTGTACCCAGAAGTTTCAAGTTTAAATAAACTGATTCAGCCAAGATACACGGACTAAAAGTGAAACGCAATAAAGACAAACGATGGATAATGTGATGAGTAACCAGTCGACTTAGTTACGGTGTTGTGAGTTCAACTGAGATCACTGAAGGCAAATACAGGGGGATTTGTATTACAGGGACGTGGATGAAGTTATACACGAAGATTCCCGAATCACGTGAAAGAGTACATAAAGATATCCAGTCATCAGGACGAGGAAATACTGAAAATCACTTCCTTCTGAACAGATAAATCTGTTTTCATGGCCGTCAATTCAACACACTTGAGCAGAATTGAGCTGTTTGATTTATTGATAATTTTAACGGATTTCATGATGTCCACGTGATGATTGATGTTGATGAGATGTCTAACAAATGGCATTATTGTAGGCTGTTGTTCTCTTGAGACGTAGACTTTTTGATACATGTTCAGAAAATCTGAGGTGTGCCCTTCCTTTTATTCTCCTAATGCAACTCTCCTCACAGATACATGTAAATTTCTGTACACAGCGTTAACATGAGAACATTACCTGTTGTCTTTCGATCGTGCCAAACAGCATGCTACCCAATAAACCAAAACCAAGTGACCTGCAGGAGATGTTCTACCTAGTGTGGTATTCAATCTTCCACTGACTCTTCCCGCAATAATGTCACATTTTTGATCTAGTTGGACGAAGATTTGTTCGTATTCTGCTGAAAATTAGTTTGGCGCATGTGCCTTCGCATCATCTTTATTTTTCAATGAATTCCTAAGAGTAACCGATGCCTCTTAACGTCTTTTCAAGAATCAGAAATTCCCCCTGTAATTTCTTTTTTGAAATGATAATTGACAGATATCAGAACACCTCATGAACGCTGCACATTCCATCTGAACTAACGCCTTATCGCTCATAGTTTTCTACAATGTAAAGTATAATCTGCCAAAAGCATCTCACTTTCGTCAGGAAACATCGGTCTTCCAGGGCTTCTTGCCGATTGCTTGCAACCATCTTATGATAATAATAATAATTATTATAATTCAAAGTGCATCGTGATAATGAGCCATATAGTATGGCAGGAGAATAATCTTGAAACTTCATTATATTTGGAATGCGAAGATTGCTTGACTGCAACAATTTTTTCGATTCGATCAATTTAATGGTGTCATTTTAAAATTTCAGGTCGTAAGAATGTGCTGAACACGAGTAGAACGAAATCAAATGGGAAATCAGGTTTGTACACAATCTGGTTGGAATTATCTGCTCACCTCCTTGGGAAATATCGCTTCGGAAAACTATAATTTCACCCATTAAGCAGGAAAAGCAACTGAGACTGTATCACATCATATTCATATATTATACGTATATATATGCTACCAGTTAATTATCAGTGGATTGTCAGTCATGGAATGCGGTAGGAATTTAGAACTATCAGATCCATCTTCTGAGGCATGCAGGCATTTTGCTTAACCGTTGGCGATGTAGTTGCAGATAAATGCTGAAATACTGAGATAATCTGAATCATGAAATGGAGTGAACAGTACAGATTCCACTTTGATGATCAGCCGTCCACTTTGCAAGATTAGCGTTTACACGATTATCTAATATATACTTTTATAAAAAATAAGATCATTACATCATGTGTTGTGCCTTTCAGGGCGTCGAAGGAAGACGGCAAAGAAGGAGAAGACTGAAACATCAGGTGTGTATTGCCATTTATTTTACATCTGATCCACAAACGGTCAGTGTGGTGTGTTCCGTCTCGTGACAAATCACAATGAACAAGCAGTTTTTTCACTAAAGAGGAGAGATTTACAGTAATTCGTGTGTGTATGAGAAGTTCCATTTCACACTTATCATGGAACTCATCACTACAATCATTGACGGTGCTTGCACTGATAAATAGAAAAATTTCACCATCGGTCAGCTGAGGGCACACACAAACTCCTAGATTTACAGGCGAAACGAAGCAAACCGGTAGAGGAGGAAGGTGGCAAAGACAGGACTTCACCTGCACAAAGAGCACAAACGACTACCGACAGGAGAAATTTGAGAGAATCTACTTCCTTCACTCATATTGGAAGCATCACTACAGCTGCTGGCGCACAGAATGGATAAAGATGTGCAAATCAGAATGTGAAGGATAAGACAAAACTCCCTTACGCTTAAATCAGTACAAAAATCTCCTGCACCCACTCAGCATAAGGAACAAGATTTGCGTCTTCGAAAGAAATATTCCGTCAGTCAATTATTCTCAAGAAACGAATATAATTCACGCGTTATTCTCTGTATTCAAGCAACCGAAGTAAAGCATGTCATATTATGTCACAGTGTATTAATAACACCTTCATGTTGCATAACAGTCAATAGACTCAATGGAAGGTGAAAAACTGAAGGCAATATCAAATATTCAGGCAAGATGGAACACGTGGGTTGGGGAAAAGCCTAAGGAAAATGCCTAGACAAATGCTACATGATCGAGTGTGGGTCTGCAGGTATTTGATTGACTACGTGTTTGATTGGCACCTGATATCATTTAAATAATGAAACAGTCTGAAGCATAAGATGACTATGAACTGTAGAGATTCCATTATGATGGTAAGCCAGCCATATTGCAAGATTCCTATCACTACGTTAATGTAAATATATTTAAAAAAACAAGACAATAATAGTATGTGTTGTATATTTCAGGGCGTCGAAGAAAGTTGCCGAAGAGAAAACAGCCCAACATGTCAAGTGCGTATTCCCTATAATGATAAATAAGATTCGCAATGCAGGTAGTGAAAAGTGTGCAACTTTGTGAAAATTCACAAAAGATGGCGGTCTTCTACACTAGACAGGAGCGTTTTCGCTGAAATCTGTGTGTGTGAGGAGTCCTCTTACAAATCCATCGTACCAGTCATAACTACAATCCTCGACGATATGTGCTCTGAGAAAGTGTAATCCCTCATCATCAGTTTCCCCAGGGCTTACATACAAAGTAGTAGTTTTTATGTTCCGGCAATGATGCATCAACCTCTTCCAATTACAAACACTCGTTGGAATGTTCCACACTCGATTAATTGGACAACAGGCAATGAATATTTCTAGTCGCCTATGGATTCGGAAAATTTGATCCGCTCTGTAGGCCTCACTGAGATCGACATATCACTGTGCTTGAGAAGTTTTCTTCATATTTACATATATATTCCTCATATTGGTAATTGTTATCAAAGGCACGTTGACAAACACGCGTATTCCCAATGGGATTACAAACATGTACCAAAAAGCTATGCTGACGGCATTTTATTCCATGTCAATTATTTTCCCATATTCTTGTTCCTTCATTAACTGCTCATCTCTCTGTAGATCGACCAAGACAATCTTCACCTGAATGCATCACACGCATAACTGAAGATATCGCTGCAATTAGAATTCAGCTGAGTCAGGAGATCTCCATAATGAAGCCAGGAACTGTAAATTGGAAGAGACGTCCCAGGGCTGCTTCTTCTGTTGAACATTGACACTCGCGCGTCTTCACTTAACCTACAGCTTCAACGCGCTTGCATGATAGCCAGATAGCTTGGCATATTTTCGCATCCAACTTAACCGAATGAAGGACGCCTGTCTTTTCAAAATAGATTGGGGGAAACGCATTTGCTGATGCGTTCACATTCGATGCAAAAACAAACCAGTGAATGTCTCGTTTACATCATTGGTGACGTAGTTTGATCGATCACCTGGGGAACCCCTTCTCTACGTGCTGGCAGTTTTGATATCAATAAATTAAATCTGTACTGTGAAGACATCTCACTACTTATTATTCGCGATTTATTTGTGTACATGTAAGTATATTGGTATATTAACGACCCAATTTTTCACACCCTACAGGAAAACCAAAAACAACAGAACCGCCAGCGGTGACTTGTAAGTTGAACTACACTCTATTGCGCCTAACAAATAAGCTGTCTTCTGGGAAAATGCCTTGCATGTTATACAGAGTACACAGCGTATTATATTGCACTGTGTTTTCTCCTCATTCATTGCTCTTCCATTTGAGGTACAGACTAATCTCATACGATACATTTTCTTCGCATTCCCCGGCCAATTCAAAATGTGCTTGAGTACATTTCGAAACTCAGGGCGACAAATGATTGAAAACGTAAAATTATTCGAATCACAGAGAATATGTTGCATCATGTTGGATTTAAAATCAGGTATAACAATTATACAAGCGGGCGGTTAGGACGCTCGCCCACCATGCACATGATCCGGGGTTTGATTTCTGGCCGACGCACTCCCTTACCTCGCTAAGCCAGAAATAATGCTGGTGAAGAAGGAAAGTTGGGCATGAGGCTAGCAACCCCATCCTGTAAAATAAACACTGCTACAGTAACTTCAAGCCACTAGCTTGAAGCCCTATGTTCCACTGGGGAACGTGAAGGAAATAAATTATACAAGCAGGTTAACAAGGAGAGCAGCAAACATATGTCAAATGCACAAGCATCCTCAAACCGAATCAATAAGATGTGGGTATACTAGTCATACGAGAAGACGCACAAAGTCATAACACATTTCCGTATACATCCAGAATCACGCACAATCTGTTGATTGTGAAAGGGAATTTTTGTAATGTGAGATGTATGAATGCTTCGGATAAACACCGCTTCGCATACTGCTCAGTCGGTTATTTCACTTACAATCTCACTGCTTGGATGGTGAGGAATGAGGAGACGACTGCATTCAGATTGACTGATCACTTCACCACAAAGCGTGTGTGTGTGTGCAGTGTGAGTGACTTTCGGCCAAAATACACAGATGTCATTGATAGCATACACTGAGCTTATTTGAAACCTATTCATCACATCATGAAGTCAAAACTGTTAATGCACACAAACCCACGCATGAGTTTCTCTTGCCAATGATGATACTTTCTTACTTCTTTACAGATGGGTTGATGAATATCAGTGACGATCACGCAAGTAAGGTTATACACTATTTTAAATATTGTGCACCTATATGAGAAGAGGGAGGAGTAATCTAATGAATATGATAAAACAATTTTGCAACCTCTTTTAATTAACGAAGAATACGTATGAGAAGTTCTATTCAAGCGTGTACTCAGCGGAGCAGGCAGAATTCTAATAACAGGTGAATCTGCGAACACAGTGAAGTTGCAGACCATTTGGTGCTCATATTCCAGGGGCACCAGTGTTATTCATGATGGTTTTGGAATGGCGCACTTGGAATACTTGGACACTTACGACGCTTGCAATTGACGAATGATCTCACTAACAATAAGGGACATATTCATGAACCATACATATCATGAATGAAATCTTCATGGAGATGTGGAGAAGAGACGTGAGTGATAATGCGACAGAATGATACGGAGAAATTCGTCTCACGTAGAAACAACAGTCATGTGGACTCAGTACGTCAATTCATAAGGGAAACAGAGGATGAAATTGAGGAACTACCTGTGCAAGCTAGACTGCAAATTACAAAATGTAACAGATGGCAGCATGAAAACGAAGGTGTACTGATAGGAAAACTACACGTTCTGGGAGATTCCGTGATTATTTGTCACTCAGCTCACCTACTCACAGTGAAAGGAGCATGAATGCAAGGTCTTGCAGACAGAATGTGCAGACGTACAACACTGGATCACCGAAGGAAAGAAGTCATTGTCCTATTGAAAATGTCACTCGGAAACAACTAATCGAAAGAATTTATCCAAGAAACCATAAAGAAGCAGAGAAAGACGGTGGAAACAGATAATGACAAGAAAGATGATGGTGAGACACGGTGACAATACCGTACGAGGAGGGCTTATCACAGGCGGAATTCGAAGAAACCTCAAAATATTGGCATTCGTACCACATTTAGACCAACGAGTCCAACTATCCGGAAATAAAATAAATCAACTAAAAGGTCCAATAACAATGATGGATTAAATTAGTAGAGTAATTTGCAAAATGATATCGTTTGCTGAGTGTCAAACTAAATATACGAGTCAAACGTGTACATTATCGCTAAACATAAACGCCTAACTAAGAATATCTTACTAGAACACAAGCGCACAATGATTTAGAAGGAAATTCCTCTACAGCTGCACAAGTAGTGGACCACAACAGTGACTGGAAGAAGATTTACATTCTTGAATCTAATATGAACCAATAGAGAGAGATAGAGAGACTATCAACGATGGAATCTGTATTCACTGACGTCACGCTGCGTCGGTGGTATAGCGGTTAGCATGCTCGCCGACCATGCACATGGTCCGGGGTTCGATCCCCGGCCGACGCACTCCTTTACCTCGCTGAGCCAGATATAATCCTGGTAAAGAGGAAAGGTTGGGCATGAGACTAGAAACCCCATCCTGTAAAATAAGCACTGCTACAGAAACTGCAAGCCACTAGCTTGAAGCCCTATGTTCCACTGGGGAACGTGAAGGAAATAAATTATACAAGCAGGTTAACAAGGAGAGCAGCAAACATATGTCAAATGCACAAGCATCCTCAAACCGAATCAATAAGATGTGGGTATACTAGTCATACGAGAAGACGCACAAAGTCATAACACATTTCCGTATACATCCAGAATCACGCACAATCTGTTGATTGTGAAAGGGAATTTTTGTAATGTGAGATGTATGAATGCTTCGGATAAACACCGCTTCGCATACTGCTCAGTCGGTTATTTCACTTACAATCTCACTGCTTGGATGGTGAGGAATGAGGAGACGACTGCATTCAGATTGACTGATCACTTCACCACAAAGCGTGTGTGTGTGTGCAGTGTGAGTGACTTTCGGCCAAAATACACAGATGTCATTGATAGCATACACTGAGCTTATTTGAAACCTATTCATCACATCATGAAGTCAAAACTGTTAATGCACACAAACCCACGCATGAGTTTCTCTTGCCAATGATGATACTTTCTTACTTCTTTACAGATGGGTTGATGAATATCAGTGACGATCACGCAAGTAAGGTTATACACTATTTTAAATATTGTGCACCTATATGAGAAGAGGGAGGAGTAATCTAATGAATATGATAAAACAATTTTGCAACCTCTTTTAATTAACGAAGAATACGTATGAGAAGTTCTATTCAAGCGTGTACTCAGCGGAGCAGGCAGAATTCTAATAACAGGTGAATCTGCGAACACAGTGAAGTTGCAGACCATTTGGTGCTCATATTCCAGGGGCACCAGTGTTATTCATGATGGTTTTGGAATGGCGCACTTGGAATACTTGGACACTTACGACGCTTGCAATTGACGAATGATCTCACTAACAATAAGGGACATATTCATGAACCATACATATCATGAATGAAATCTTCATGGAGATGTGGAGAAGAGACGTGAGTGATAATGCGACAGAATGATACGGAGAAATTCGTCTCACGTAGAAACAACAGTCATGTGGACTCAGTACGTCAATTCATAAGGGAAACAGAGGATGAAATTGAGGAACTACCTGTGCAAGCTAGACTGCAAATTACAAAATGTAACAGATGGCAGCATGAAAACGAAGGTGTACTGATAGGAAAACTACACGTTCTGGGAGATTCCGTGATTATTTGTCACTCAGCTCACCTACTCACAGTGAAAGGAGCATGAATGCAAGGTCTTGCAGACAGAATGTGCAGACGTACAACACTGGATCACCGAAGGAAAGAAGTCATTGTCCTATTGAAAATGTCACTCGGAAACAACTAATCGAAAGAATTTATCCAAGAAACCATAAAGAAGCAGAGAAAGACGGTGGAAACAGATAATGACAAGAAAGATGATGGTGAGACACGGTGACAATACCGTACGAGGAGGGCTTATCACAGGCGGAATTCGAAGAAACCTCAAAATATTGGCATTCGTACCACATTTAGACCAACGAGTCCAACTATCCGGAAATAAAATAAATCAACTAAAAGGTCCAATAACAATGATGGATTAAATTAGTAGAGTAATTTGCAAAATGATATCGTTTGCTGAGTGTCAAACTAAATATACGAGTCAAACGTGTACATTATCGCTAAACATAAACGCCTAACTAAGAATATCTTACTAGAACACAAGCGCACAATGATTTAGAAGGAAATTCCTCTACAGCTGCACAAGTAGTGGACCACAACAGTGACTGGAAGAAGATTTACATTCTTGAATCTAATATGAACCAATAGAGAGAGATAGAGAGACTATCAACGATGGAATCTGTATTCACTGACGTCACGCTGCGTCGGTGGTATAGCGGTTAGCATGCTCGCCGACCATGCACATGGTCCGGGGTTCGATCCCCGGCCGACGCACTCCTTTACCTCGCTGAGCCAGATATAATCCTGGTAAAGAGGAAAGGTTGGGCATGAGACTAGAAACCCCATCCTGTAAAATAAGCACTGCTACAGAAACTGCAAGCCACTAGCTTGAAGCCCTATGTTCCACTGGGGAACGTGAAGGAAAAAAAAAACGCTGGATACATGTACCAATGATGACTGGGCAGCACGACTGTCAGCAACCGGGAATATAATTCACAATGCACAAAAATGAATGAATCAAAACTGAACTTTACCTACATATAAGACTACAAATCGCAAATGCATGAATTGAAAGAGGACAATTCCAACAATCACTTGCTGTGATCGCCAGGAGCGATTTCGCCCGAAATACTGAAATATCAGACAGACAACTTATCATAATGTGTAGCTATCGAAATATAACTGCAATCAATTTCATCTACTCCGCAATGCGCAGATGTTTTAACTGACATGAAATGACAATATCACCTCGTCAGCTGACAGCATGTGCAAGAATGTGGCAAGCATCGAAGTTCAGAACCTGCTTTCAAGTATCAATTAGTTGTTTGCCTAATATATCCTGACGAATATTATACGAGATTTTTTTCAATGTATTTCAGACTGCATGTTCTGCGTAACCACACACAACATTTTTTTAAAAGAATACTTATTTCTTTCTGAGGAATTCATCAGTGTATGAGCACATGTGTAATTTCAGTTGATTGACGTTATCATCACTAGAAAATGAAAACGACAAATCAGCATCAATGTGCTGACATAATATATATCCTAAATTATCTATGTGTTTAGATATTTTCAAACATTTCTTATGTTAAATTATTGTTATTATTGAAGAAAATAAAAGACAGATTCAGCGAAGAAAATTTCCTTTATCGACGAAATCATCTTCAGAGGCTGTACAATCGTATTTATACTTACAAAAATATATAGTGGTCTATTATTGAGTAATAGGGGGTGACATAATTGATATAATTACTCAGAAGTGGCTTTAGAAGTGAAAATTAGAAGTTGAAAATTACGTGGTACTCAACGGCAAAAAGATAGAAATTTGACAAGGTCAACCCCTATTACTCAATAATAGACCACTATATATTTTTGTAAGTATAAATACGATTGTACAGCCTCTGAAGATGATTTCGTCGATAAAGAAAATTTTCTTCGCTGAATCTGTCTTTTATTTTCTTCATGACTCAATGGGTATTGTTATTATTATTGTATCCTTTAATTCCTAGAGGAACATAGGGCTTCAGCCGTGCGTCTCCATTGAGTTCGGTTCTCTGCTACAGTCTTCACCTGGCTCCATGTCTGCCCACACGTTTTCATCTCCTCTTCACATGACCTCCTCCAAGTCACCCTTGGACGACCAACTCGCCGCTTCCCTTACAGTTTCCACTCGAGGGCTTGTCTAGTGATGTCACTTGATGGTTTCCTCAGAGTATGGCCGGCCAATCCATCTCCATTTCTTTCTGCCTATTTGTTTCACAATCGGTTCCGGGTTGGTTCGCTTCCAGAGATCCTTCTCTGTTATTGACCTTTCCTGGCAAGCCATCTGATCTTGAGTATTGAGCGAAGACAGCTAGCTGTTAATGGAGGTCTGTAGTTTGTTTGAGATGCTCTTTATGATGCGCAGTGCAAGTGTCTGATCCGTATAGCAAGCGGCACTGACTGACTTCACATTGGAGTTGAAAATCCCGATCTTATCTTCGTTTTGATGCTGAATAGTGCTGTTGACCTCCACACAGACTTCAGAGTAGTGAAAGCTTGTTGCTTGCTTTTCCGATTCTTGCTTTGATATCCTCATCAGTTCCGCCTGTAGTTGAGACGATGCTTCCCAGGTAGGTAAAGGAGGTTGATTCTTTCAGGTTCCTCCCATTTATGCTGATTGTTATCTGTTGTTGTTGCTGTTGGTGGTGTTGCCCGGGAATCCACATCACCTCTGTTTTTTCTATGTTCACCTGAAGTCCTATCTTTGATGTTTCTTCTGCCAACTTGTTGCTTTTCGCCTGCATATCCCCCAGTTTGTGCAAAATCAGACATATATCATCGGCGAAGTCCAAATCCTCCAAGTCTCTGTTTGTGTGAGTCCATTTTATGCCTGTTTCCTGATTGCCCGCTGTTTGTCGCATTATCCAATCTACTGCAATCAGGAAAATCGTTGGCGATTGTACTCAGGCAACTTGTCTTACTCCTGTCCTCACTTTGAAGGATTCCGTAAGTCTCTGGTTGTGGATTACTTGGCATGCAGCAGCATTGTCGCACAGCTGTTGGATGAGATGTATAATTGTCGGTGGCACCCCTTGGTAGTAGCGAAGTAGTGGCCAAAGCACCTCTCCATCGACGCTGTCGAAGGCCTTTTCAAAGTCGATGAAGTTGAGATAAATGACATTTCCGATTATAATTCATTGAGGCCACATTGATTATTCCAGCACATACTTTCAAACTCCTGAAATTCTAGTTATACATGAAAACATAAAATTAAATTCTAAGTACTTTTTATGATATATTTACTATAAAATATTAGAAAAAGTAACAAAGATATAATTAGGACAGTGCAAATATCAAGTAAATGTGAAATGTGACATGAACACGATGACAATTCTAATGATGATACAAAGAAAATAATAAACGTTGACACACTCAGAAAGTTAATGAATGCATAAAATCAAAATAGGTACAAAAAATTAAACAATAAGAATTTTAAACAAACCTCCAATCGTCACCATGATCGCGTCTCAGGATCACTTTGCTTATTTTCACATTTGTTCATATTTCAGGTCCAAAACAAGAGCAAGTTAAGCCTATATTGACAGGTAAGTAAGTGTCCACAGCTGTACTCACATTTACATGAATGACAGTTAAAAATATCACGCTCACGTAGAAGCACACACGCATACACACTAAAGCGTACTATTCAGGTTTCTCTTTGAGTATGCAAGCCAGTCAATGACATCCTTGTGTATTCCTTGAAATGCTTACTCACGCTGTCACATCAACCATGTTTCAGATAATATGAATTCCTTTTTCCAGGTTTAGTTTGTTGAGACTTGGTTTATTTCAGGTTTGTCATCATTTGAAATGTCATCATTAGGGGAGCAATTGAACACAAGATAGTAGTGCACGACTCTTTCATTATTTTTCGTGTTTCTTCAAATAGTACTTATCCATAGTAGTCGTGGTGGTCAACTCTAGGATTTGCAGGCTACGACGGCAAGTTCTTTGACCATTTAGCAGCTTGATCCAGAAATCAGTCAATTCGCGATAACAGCGTGACAGTTAGGCAATGTCACCGGCGAGCATTTCTCCTCACGCCCGACGTTTTGTACCCCACTGTTCATGAATTCTCACAAGAACTTCAGGCAACTTCATCCTGTAGCTATTCAACAGCGAATGTCAGCATAATTCGCCAGAGTCAGTTCGGAGGGAATTTATTTCTTCATAATCTCGTTAGAAATTCTTCAATAGTAGTCACTCACGATCCCGATGGAGATCGAAGCCGAGACTTTCGGGTTTGAGATTGCGCCTAAAGGAGCATAGAGAACACATCTAGTGAATTCAAAGTCATAACATATTGCGCTACAGCAGCATGAACAGAAACATGCTAGATTTTCCAAAAGGCCTTGAGCAGCGTTGATCGAGAAGTAATTTGGAAACTAATTCAACACTATGGCGAGCCATTTGGCCGTAGCACGCTGTGACTAATTTGCCATATCCGAGATTGGACTTAGTGGTATGTTCTCTTTTTTGCACTTTCTGGAGACTGTACAACCAAGGAATTACAGAAGCCGAGAGTCGCATCCGCTGAAATGATTCAGACTTTTTAATGGATTTGTTCTTCATTTTCTTCAGCATCTGATTATCTTCCCTTCAATTCACTCAGTTTCATCTTTCTGGTTACTTTCTTTTGAAAATCTGTTTTCATCTGATATGATGGATAAAATTTTATCTACGTAGTCTTGTCGATTCATCAGGACGGTGCCAGCACTTTTATCGGGACGGATCAACACCAAGTCTTTATTTCTCATACACTCACGTAGTCGATTTCTGCGCTCAGCTGAGATGATTAAGTTGCCATTCGGCTCATTATTGACACACTGATGACAGATGTTCAATACTGTAGACTTGAATTGTTCATGTGGTTTGTCCGACACTGGGAAAGGGTCAATTCTGTGATGGATCAATACAGTCAACTGAACGTTTACATCCAGGTCACTCAAATTTTTCGAAATGTCACATAATTTCGGATCCAATGACAAAGTTTGCAAGTGGAGAGGCGGTAATGATAAACTAGAATAGTTGAAAATGTATTTCTCTGGTGTGACAGCAAAATGCAAATGAGTGTCAACTGCTTTGAGATTATATGCAACCTTCATATTTGCATCCTCACAAAGTTTTCTGGAAACTGAATCGATGTAGTCTACAAAAACGTTTTCTGCTCGTCTTCTGAGGTCTTATTTCTACAGACTTCGCCTTCAAAGTCATCCACATTGTGACAAGTAACTTGCTTAATTAGTCACGCATTCGATTCATCTGCATTGCTGGAGCTTAAGCCATTTTAATAAAAACGACAGAGTTTTGTATGGAGAAAACGTTAGTTTAACCACTATCCTACGCTTAACTATTATAATGCTCACCCACGCCATGTCCTTACCTAATTTTCGTTTGGTTTAGCTGTTTTGCTTACATATGTCGACTGGTTTCACAATAATTTTCACTTTGAGCAATTTCCGGTATTATCTCACCTGTCGCCTTTATTAATTTTATTCAATATAATTTTTCAAATGCCTCGTCACAATTTTCATTACCTGGTTTCGTAATTTTTCACTTGTTTACTAATCTTATCACATCTACAGCACCTACAAAAAATTTAAACAATTCATGGACTATATTACATATTACTCTCTCGTATCGACAGTGGAAATGGTTGACAGCGCTTGCATATATATATGCGTCGAATAGCCTTCACAGACATGAACTACATTGGTGAATTGAAACAGCCAGCAACCAATAAGATCCCAAGGTCATAAGTGAGTGAGAGGGAAATACAACAAGCAATGTTAAGATAAATGTAGTACTCGGTACATATAACAACACGTCATAATGGAAATTTCCCATGAATGATAATATAAACGAAAGTTCATATTAAACGATGTTGCTGCTAGAAAAGACTAAGTGATCTTTATATTTTTCACCCAAAAATATTATTTTTAAAAGTGTTGGAGAATGTTAATTATGCGGAAAAGTTGATGAATAAATTATGGTATTATTGAGTAGTAAAGTCAAATGATTGAAAGACCAGTGTGAATATTTGTGCTAGCACCTCAACAGTGAAACTGTCGAATTATATTAAAGTAGTTATTTCGAAACTCACTACACTTGTTCGTAGTTGTATCTTGATATAGCGAATATTATCCTACCATTTCTACTCTTTATTTAATTGCAGGATCGAAAACTTTTATTGGAAAAAATAGAAGAAAGTAAGTCTAAACAAACATGAACGTATTTGTCCGATTTCCATGAAGAATAACGTACAAGTTGCTTTACTTTCATCATTCTGGATGATGTTTTCTGGTAGAAGAATCAGCCTTAAATAACACATTCTGAAGATATTTTTCCTTCAGCGGAATACTTGACCACTGAAATATTTTACATATTTTTATTCTTATTTCTCTGATCGGAATATCGGTCTTCGATAGTTCATTACAATTTTACTTTGTGCTTTGTTAATTGTCTGAAAAACTTTCCATATATTTCTCGTCCAATTTCCTCCATGTCGCAGTTGGAACCATACCAAAGTTGTCGATTATAATGAAAGTCTCAATCAAGGGTTTTCTTGAAGCGTGCTACCACTTAATGGTCTTTTCAGTATTTGATCAGTCCATTTTTATTTCCTTATGCGCAATTGTTTAGCGATATGTTATTGGTCGCCTAGCTGACAGAGTTTCTTGTGACTAAATCTGTCTTACTGGCTATACGTTGCTCAGTGTGAAGCTATGCTGGCAGTTGTTGTTTAAAGTTTGCAGTAGATTTCTGGAAATGCCTAACGTGACGCGCCATGTCAGAAAGCGATGTGGAAGCATTCACTTAAGATTGCTGTTCAAGGTTGAGATATTATTCTTCAGGTCAAATATGGTGTTGACTTTCAAGCTGATTTCAGATGAGTGAAACTCAGTCTGGTTTATCCAATCCGGTTATTTACACACTCATTGGTACTGCAAGTGGTCGAAGTAATGTTGTCTGTCAAGGCAAGTGAAACAGGTGACTTCATTCGGACATTCCTTGTTGACAATCATTGACTAACTAGTTCATTTTTGTAGTAGTCAGCTCTAAATCCTGGAAGAGAGTTGCATTTATGCGTGGGGCCAGTGATTGTACACCAGAAAGGCAATCTAACTGGCGCAGAAATGCTTAAATACGGAAATTTCGGAGTCAATAATTAGAATGACAATACCTCCTCATAACATCCCACTGATGAATTCCGTATCACTGACCTCATAGAAAACGTTACTTGTGTTCAAAAATCTTGCCTGTAAGTACACACTTGGCTATATCGAACTGGTGAAGAACTGGCTTTGCTACACATGGAAGGAGTTTTCCATCACTTCAGAGGGTATTTAAAATGACTTTCCAATTAATTATTTCTGGTATTTCACTGCAACGGATCACAGCAGTCTACCGGTTTTTCATACGTCTGTAGAAGAAACGCCGCAGTTATAGACCTACTAATGACATGTTGTACAGCAAAAAAACCGTCACTATTGCTTCCATACTCTGAAAATGGCGTGTGTAAGAGACTAGTCCGGTTAAAGGAATAGTTAACTTGAGAGAACAAACTATGTAAAAGACTGTTTTTCATCCGAAATGTTTTACGTTAATGTTAGTATTCATGTATATATTACCAAGCACTGAATGGTTACTGTTTGCTTTAACTTAGAAAGGAGAATACATGAAGTGCAATGTAGATTAGGCTTTTTCATGTTACACATTATTAAACATTGACAAATAATTATGATGTAAGAAGCCATGTTAATTTCGTAACCTACAGATGAGTGTTTTGTCAGTCGCATCTTTAGGTGTGATAATATGCATCAACATTACAGTATGCTGAATATCAGAGGACTCAGGAGAAATAATCATACAGAATTCATGAAATTATAGGCTCCATAAAAGGCTAGAGCAGTTGTAAAGGCTGTAACTGTTTCTCCTGCACCAAGAGCGCTAGTTGTTCAGGGTGAATCGCAATAGACCTGTTGTTTGGAGTTTTCGACACCTGTATGCTTTTGAAAATTCATTTGCTGGATGATGTAAAAGGTTACTTCAATACTACTCTACTATGTGGCAGGCTTTGAAAAAGTGGTTCAATATCGAACTTTTGATGGTTTCCACTACGCTTAGACGCAATCTTAAATGTTCCTGAGCAATCATCAAAATGCAACTTCCTAAAGCAACAGCTGATATAACTCGCTCCACAAAAATGCATTTAGAGGTGACTAGTTTAGGCACTTCATCTTACAATTGGAGAATCACAACTGGTGACTTGTAGTTCACTCGCATCAAAAGGTCTTTGGATAAATTTCCTTAACGCTTTAGGAAATATTTCAATGGATACATAATCCTTCATTCTAATCCTATATAGATAGGCTTCTTACTTGTTTACCTTCTTGATCATGTGTTTCTTGATGAACTACTCTGGATACCTATTTTTAACTAAGGTGTCATACACAATGCTAATTTCATCTTCGGTAATGTCTTCTGAGCAAATAGATGTGACACTGCAGCTGAAAGTCTTTATTGAATTTCTTGTGTACTGGAGAGGAATAA